CCAATATATGGATCTTCTTTTTAACCTCAGTCTTCTTTGAGTAATGTTTATCATTTGTAGTTGATATTTTAAGGAAACCAATTAAACATGGTTGGTTTGGTAATGCTTACCAGGATGTCTGTGGTTAAAAGATATGCACAAAAATCTTAATTTGGCTTCACAATCACAAGTTGCAAAATAAATAATTAATAAAGAAATTGATGAAATATATAGAGATTTTGTCATTCAAAGACATACAAGTCATTCAAGTATTTTTATCTCCTTTAGATTTGAAGCTCCTTGCATTCCCTGGTGTCATTAGAATTTAAAATGACCAGTAGTGAAATTAAACAAATACTGCCATTTTATGAAGTGGATTATGAATTTACCAAGTTTAGTGCTAACATTCTATTTATTGAAAGTGGAGTATGTTGTGTATGTAGTTAATATAGAGATTTTACATTGGCAGAACTATGGGAGTTCAGTAAAAATGAGCATTTGGGCATCAGAATTGGACATGAGTTGATTACAGTTCACTGAAGGGCATGTTCTGAATGGATGTACAGTACTAGTTACATTCATGCAACAGATGCTATTTCACCTTTCTTTGGTGAAAGGACATACTTTGTGATAGTGAGTGAAAGGTAATGCTGGATAGATAGAACAGAGATAGATTGACCCATGTTTAGAAAATCTGAAAACACATTGATGATAAATAATCATGTTTGATGAACATGTGGAAAAGAACAAAAATGTGATGAAGAAAGTCAATATAACAGCAATGTTATATTCAGTTTGAATTGATACATCTAAAGTTAGATTCTCAGCAAAGATATTATTTCTACAGGATGTTAATAGAACATAAATACTTCAACTGAAACTCCATGAAACAGGTAGCCACCATCTGAGGGACCATAGGCAACCTCTGTCAGGTGTCTGTGTTTACCCATCCCTGAAGTCTATAAAAATCAACCTTTCTGATCAAAGGTGAGGTGGGTCCATACATCAGCAGTGAATTTTGGTTCTCATCATTTCAGATACTCTTAACACCAATATATACATTTACCAAGGGGAACAACATAATTAGTACTTTTCTAAGGAAAATTGTATCAGACAATTATAATAGTATAGATAGTAAGATAGTATTAAATGTGTGATAGCATTAAATCAAGGGATGAATGAGAACTTTTATTGTAGATTAAGTACAAATTTTAAGTATTGAATGAAAATATTGAAACTTACAAATATTTAATTGTTACTTATATGTAACATTACACAGACTGAGCAGGCTGTATTTATGTATTTATGAAGATATAGATATATAAATATATGTATGTAATGACAATTAATGAAAAAAGGTCATAAATTTGAAAGAGGAAATGGATACATAGATGGAAAGATGTAGGAGAGAGAGAGTAAAGGGAAGGAGGAAATGATTTAATTATATCATAATCTAAAAAATAAGATAGTGTTTAAAATATAGAATGGGAGTTTAGTCCAGGGAAAATGGGCAGAGAAATAACAAATACAAAGAAGATACTGCAGAGAAAGTGAGGAGTAAATTTAAGATATAACAGTGGATTGTAAAGAAACACATTTTAGCAGATTTTTATTGATCATATCCACACACCACTACTTCCCTCCCACTCCTGGTACCACCATCCCTTCTCTCTCCCAGCTGCTTGTCTTTTTCTTTCTTTTTTTTTTACTATTAAAAAATCCTGAGTCCAATTAAAGTTTCTTATATGAACATGGAACCAATGTATGAAATTTTAAAATATAAAAAAAAAGTTTTAAATTATAATAGTTATTCACAGAGAAACACACACATATAAACACATACACACAGAGAAAAATACCGTGTGTGTGTGCATAACTATATAGGTACTGGTCAAATTAAGAATGTCAGAATGTCATTTGCTGGGCTGGATTAGAGTAACAGTTAAAAGCAGTTGCTGCTCTTACAGAGGACTCAGATTTGGTTTCAAGTGCAGTTACTAGGTGGCACAAAACTTCCTTTATATACAACACCTGGGGACCCAAAACATTTTCCTGGGCTCTACAGGCATTTGCAGTCATGTATACACACACAAATACACACACACACAGGCATAATTAAAACTAAAAAAAAATTAAGAATGCTGTTTGATATTTTTAATGAAACATTTCCTTCTTTGCTGAGTATTCTTTTTCACTAGGATGAGTAAACAACAAATTTTTCTGCCTCTTAAGGTTGTGATAGTACACCCAGGTTTATAGTGTACTTCTCTTAATATTCAAGGTTGGTCACTGTTTTTAATCAAAGTAGCTTGCAAGAACAGAAAATAGATTCCAAGTAAAATTCGCTGTTCAGTGTGGCAATGATCACAACCCAGTGATCATATCAGCTGAGAGGAAGTTGTTAGTGATAGGGAGGAGCTAATGTTCTGGTCCTTCAGAAATCATATGTATAAGTGTGTCAGGAAGAAGAGGGGAAGACAAGACGGATCCAAATTCTTGGAATAATGGGGAAACAAACAGTATTAATTATCTGTCTTTAAACTCGTGATATTGCTCATGGAGAACAATCAACATGATAATGCAAAATGTAGCATCAAAGCTCAGGCTGAATTTCACTTTTATGACTGAATGTATATTATCTTTTCCTGTACCTATCATACAAAAGGCCACTCTGCAACCATGCCATTAAAATAATGATCAGTTGATTGGAATTAGTTAAATGTGTCATATGGATTGGATATGAAACTGTGAATACTGGATGTAATTTACACAAAAGTTCTCAAGAAACACAATCTGTGTGTCTACTGTGTCTCATGAATCCCCAAAAGTTCCCTGGTGCTCCACAGGACTTTCATAGGAACCTTGAGGACCACTTCACAGATGCTGCACCTAAGGTGTCAAGATGAAGGCAGGGTTAAGAAGTAGCTACTTTACAACAGCTTATTCCATGTGCCTTTGTCTCAGAATGAAGTATTTTGATTTGTGTTGCTGAAAATGGTATTTATTAGTCTTATAAAGTAGGAAGAAATGACTGTTTTATGAGTCAGGGAATGAATTCCTGAAGACAAACTTTAAGCTTTGAACTTGAGTTGTGGCCAGTGCACAGGTGGAAGTCAGCTCTACTTCTTTTTCCCAAAATTTCCTTTGTGGTATTTCCATATGTTAGTCCTGCACAAGACGGTAGCTCCATCCCAAGAAGACAGTAGCTCTTACCCAAGAGAAATGATCGATTTTTAAATAGTGTAGACAATACTTACACGAATTAGTTAGTTTTCAACATTCTGTTGCTTCAGAGAGCAGTTTGTGTCTTGTCAGGCAGGTACTTAGTTTTCCCCTTCATCAGCTCCTTCACCTGTTGATGGGTTTAGTAAATAATTCATAAATATTAAATAAGATACCATGTTGATAACATTAAGAAAGTGATACTTACGAGTGTCTAATCTATTCAACCATAGAATTCTTACATTTCTTACTTCTTAAGTTACAGGGAGACATACACACATATATGCACATTATAATATATATACACTATTACATAAATTACTAATATATATGTATATATTAGTAATTCTCAGAGTTATTTGATATAATTAAGAGATTCACTTCCTTTATCAAGTGGTAACACACATGATTCAAGTATACACACACTCACAAAAAAACACATATAAATATATAACTCGTGTGAAAATGCCATTTTGTGCTGTTTATTAAGAAACCAAAGCATAAAACCTGAAGCAGAGTGTAAACACAACTGTATGAGTGAAGGAAAATCACTTGCAGAATTGCAGAAGACAGATGCTATATCCTTCATATCACAGAAGGATGAAAATGGCGTGCCCACAATGTCTTAATTGGTTTCCCAAATTTTTATAGTTTTAGAAACTTGTCCCTTGAAAATTACAAATGTAGTTCTATAGGGCAATGAAAAGTTTTGTTATTTGTTAAATTGGGTTTTTATATTGATATTAACCAAAGTCCAAGATGACAGCAGTAAAGGTGATGAACGATTGTTGAAATAATGGATTGAGTAGCATGTTTCTAAGGTTATGAAGTTCAGGAAAATATGTAATTATTTCTATGTTTCCCAAGTTTGGTCTGTTCAACATTATGCTATGACATACAGCAGGGTCAGTTTCAGATATTAAGTTCAAATCAAAAGATGCTGCCCTGCTGTTGATGCCAGGGTTAATCATGCAAATCTAATGCAGTTCTTGGTATTTCAGGAACTGCTGAGGTGAAGTCCCATGCATGTATTGATTTAAAATCACTACTCTCCAGAGCAATAATTTCCCAACTTCAACATTAAGCTGAATAAGCTTTGGAGACAGATTTGAAGACTGGACATTCATCCATGCTGGTTAACCATCAAGTAAACTGTAAATGGGGACAGGCTGGGGAGACAGGAGATAGAGTTCCTAAGATAGAATTTCATATATATATATATATATATATATATGAAAATTAATGAGTATATCAGAACCAAATTTACAAATATTGTACAGAAAATCTAAAAGAACAAAAGTCAAATCAAGTATATATGCATATGTACTTGATGTCTGCCCACTTAGAAAATGGCAAAAAGCTGGCCTTGAAATACAAATTTTAAAAAATGTGTACCTGTATCTATAGATATATTATATATAGATATAGATAAATAGATATGGATTTAAATATATATCTAAATATATGGAAATGTGTATGGATTTAAATATATATCTAAATATTTATATATTTAAATCCATACATATTTCCATCTATACATGTAATATATTACAAATTCTTAAATTTGAAATGGGATGGAGATATGTTTAGAAATGAGACTATTTACGGAAAGAAAAGAAATCAACTTGTTCACAGCACAGAATATCAAATTGTAACATGCTGGTTTCTGTGCACAATCAGCTTATCTTACCAAGAACAATGAAATCTCACACAGCTGTCTGACATGAATGACTTTTACATATCTCCATATTGCTGACTGTCTTGTAAGTTAATCTCATCTTACATGAATTTTTCACCAGCTTCACTCTGATGTTGATAAAGGAGATGGTTCCATCAAATACATCTTGTCAGGCGAAGGGGCGAGTTCCATTTTCATTATTGATGAGAACACTGGGGATATTCATGCCACCAAGAGACTGGACCGGGAGGAGCAGGCCTATTACACACTCAGAGCCCAAGCTCTGGACAGACTCACCAACAAGCCTGTGGAGCCCGAATCTGAGTTTGTGATCAAAATTCAGGATATCAATGACAATGAGCCCAAATTTCTGGATGGCCCATACACAGCAGGAGTTCCTGAAATGTCTCCTGTGGGTAAGTAAAAAGCATGCTGTTTTTGTAATAAGTATGTGAAAAAATACACTGGTATATATGCAGTGACGGTCAGAATGAAAGAAAACTGGTGACGCACAGCAGCCAAGACACGTTCATTCAAACCTTCACCTACCTGTTTGGAAGATTAGGAGATGGTTTACTTTGGTGTTTTTTATTTTTGTACTTTATATTAACTTTATACAGTTCCTTTGGCCCAACTCTCATTGTCTTTAAGAAATGGCTTGTGCATTTTCCTTTCTATCAAATAATTATTGTTTAGAAATATGACTACAATCATGTCTGACAAATTATTTAAAAAAAAAAGTATCTTTCACTGTATGTTCTTTCATCCTTCCTCCTCCTCCTCTTCCTCCTCCTTCTTCTCCTTTTTCTCCTCCTTCTTTATTCTTCTCTTTTTTTTAGTGGAAGATTGATCTAGAGACTCTCCCCCCCCCAAAAAAAAAAAAAAAAACAAGCAAAATAGCAAACTCTTCTCTGACTATTAGGGCAATGATCCCCTTATCTTGTCCTTTCTGTTGTTACAAGAAGGTTGCTGGTGGCAGTCCAGGTCAGTACAGGGTTGCTGCTCCACTACCTACCTCTATTTAGTATCCAATGCTCACCACCACTAATCCTTTTGTAATTTCTTCACATATAAATTAAATATTGAGTTGTTTTTCATAAAAGTAAAGAAATAGTTAGAGAAAGAGAAAACAATAAAAAGCCTCTTACTCTAAGGTCTTTCAGCAATTCTCCATTACAAAAATATGCAAATTACTCATTTTACTTTATGCCAGATATTATAAATTCTGCTTTAAATTTCAGTGTTTAGAGTACTTCTCCAACACCATGTTTTTTAAGCTGGTATGTAATTCATGTATATAAATTATTTTTAATGGGATTGTAAAATAGGAAATCTAATCGTTGGTTTTATTATTGAAGGAGGAAGCTCATTTAAGACATTACTGAAGTTTATAGCACATGGACATTTTAACCACCATGCTTTGTCTTGTTTTACTCATTCAGTCCTTTGACTTATGCTATACCACCGGGGTGGGGATTGCACAGGTCTGCGCTCCACACAGGGCATCACAATTCACAACCCAGTCTGCTGGGGACATGTGGCTCTGGCTGCTAGAGAAATTCAGTCTGAAAACAGAAAACCATCAGGACTTGTAGTCATTAAATGTTCTAAATCACAGAGGGGGAGGTTCTAGCAATAATATAGAGATGTGCATGTCTGTTACAAAGCAAATGAATTCCCTTTTTCTTAATTCTGGCCATCCCTTCAAAGTGTTTCTTGCAACTGCTCTTTGACAAGAATAACAGTAGCAATACAGCGACAATGAGTGGGGGTTTATGAGAAGTTGACAATTTCCTCCCCCAATTAATAATGTTTGGTAAAACTAATTTTGAGGTCAGTTTGATTGAGCTTCATACTTCTGTCTAATGGTATTTGTGGTATTTTTCATTGATTAGTAAATTTAGCATTGAATATTCTAATTAGTTGTATGCAAAATTATATTTTAGAGATTACCTAAAGAACCACTGATTTGATTTGGAGGACTCTACTTCAGTATCAAGAAGTATGATTATTATACACACATGTAAATTATTTTATTAAATTAATTGATATAATGAGTTAAAACATTTAAGAAAATTGTTTTTAAATACCTTTAGAATTTATTGAACACTTATTTAAACTACTTGATTAATAAAATTTTCAAACTTTGAACAATGAATATCAATAAAAACTGAAATTTAGTAACAATATATTGAAGCTTACTAAAGTGTTTAATTCTCACAAAATAGTTATAATAGCATTGATTGATACGGTGAATAGCTCATAAGCATTCAGTATCGAATACTAGCGTTCTTCTTCTTAAATTACAGTACGACATGTTTTATAGCTGATAATAAGGCTATAGGATAATTTCTAATTTGCTACAGAGCTTAGAAAAGCATAGAAGCCTTCCATTCAGAGACTAGGAAGCAAGCTCAGTCAGCAAAGTGTTTGCCATGAAAGCATGAGGCTCTGAGCTCAATCCCATGGCCCAAAGCTGGCAGTGCACACTTACAGCCCCAACCCTGGGAGGCTGACACAGGGAGATTCCATCTACTCTGTGAAGTCCAGAGGAGGACCCTATCTCAAAAACCAATGGTGTTTTAGTAGGATGCAACATGGTTGACCTCCAGCCTCCAGACAAGTGTACCAAACACACTCGAGACACACACACACACACACACACAGCCATTGACACACACTCTCAAACTGTACTTGCAAATATGCCTGTATATGTGCTTATTAAATAATTTAAATGTGCTGGTAAACTAAAAATTTACTTAATTTTCACATTTACAAATCTTTAAAATGTAACTTTTAGGTTGATTTAGGAATACACATCATTCACAATATTGGTTTTATGAGACATAGTCAATGAAGTTTACCAAAGAAGGTACAAAGCACAAACAATTTTTATAACTTAACTTTAAAATTTCTATTCAACTATAAGGGAAATGGAATTAGTAAGGAATATCATATTATGGAAATTGAGTGGAATTCTGAAAAAAAATTATTTGAGTGAAATAATCATTAAGAAAAAAATCCATCCAAAGCACAAGTAAAGATGATAGTAGATTTAAAGTTCCATATTTAGGAGCAATTTTAACCAAACTCATACTCAAAGTACCAAACTGGTACCTTTCCTTATGCATCAATCAGAGCATGATGCGCGAGACACCTATTATCTAACCTCATTTGGCTGTAATATTCATCATTCTGTAGTGTCTTTGCCTACATACTTCCATGTTGGTTGAAATATTAAGGCAACTCCACATAGTTAAAAGGGAGGTTTATTTTGTAGGGTAACTTACAAGTGAAGGGAAAGGTTACAGGGTCTGGGAAAGGTGAAGCACAATATAGCAGTGTTCTCTGGAGAACTCTGCTGGGTCTACCTCCAGCATTCAGGATCCAGGAACCAAGAAAGCCAGCACATACATCTGGATCTCAGGTCTGAAGCACTCCTGTCTCGGCCCTGCCTTGTAGGCCTGACAGTTACCGGAAGCCTCATTGGGCGTAGTACTTCCAGGATAAAGCTGGAACAGCTGCAGACTACATCTCCCCCTTTTGTCTAAAAAGAAAGTTAACAGCTACCAACTACACTTTCATATCACCTATTTCAAGAATTTTTATTAACATTTATTTCCTTTGTTTGGTTTAAATAAAAATATACTAGATTGATAACTCGTGCTTTGATGAAGATAACTAAAACTAACAAAAAAAGAAGCCTAGAATTTGTGACAATTTGTGAGCCTTTAGTGCCCCCATACTTGAGAAGTTTAATTCAAAGACTTTTTGGTTGTCACCTAGGGACTTCAGTGGTACAAGTGACGGCCACAGATGCTGATGATCCTACCTATGGCAACAGTGCTCGGGTGGTCTACAGTATTCTGCAAGGACAGCCATACTTTTCTGTGGAACCAAAGACAGGTAGGAAATAAAATCTGCACTTACTGTAGTTATCATTTATATGCTGCCTTTATTATAGCACAAACCCTAATTGGTCTAAATAATAAAAACATGGAGTTAGATACAAGGGTAAATGCTGAAAGATCAAAGAGACAAAGAACAAACCACAGCCACCATCTCTTATCTTGCCAACTCCCCAGCCTGAAAGAAATGAGCTCCTGTCTTCTCTCACCTTATATTTCTCTCTCCACCCGGCCATATCACTTCCTGTCTCCACCTCTCTAGTGCTGAGATTAAAGTCATGAGATCCCAAATGCTGGGATCAAAGGTGTGTGCCACCACTGTCAGGCTCTGTTTCTCTTTTAGACTGGATTAATCTTGTGTAGCCTATGGTAGCTTTGAACTCACAGAGATCTTCACCAAGATAGGAAAAATAATATAGTATTTTTCTGAATTTGTCAAATATTAATAGACTAGACATTATTGATGTATTTATTGCCTGTATATATTGTATATAGTTATTGTACTTATTGTGTATAGTTTCTTTTACATTAGTTATAACCTTTTTTTATTTTAGACTAAAAGGGGAAATGTGGTGATATTTTGTTTGTGATCTAACAAATAAAGCTTGCCTGAAGATTAGAGTATGGAGCTAAGGCATTAGTTAGCCATAGAGGCCAGACATTGGTGGCACCCATGTTTAATTCTAACATGCTGTTAGCAGTCTAGGTGAGGGCACTTTCTTGCCCAATGACTAACTTTTGCCACAAAGAAAGTAAACTCCATATGGACTTACTTTGATGCCCATCATCTTCTCTGAAGTAGATTGCGACTGCCAGGAGCAGACTTGTCTCAATGTCATAAAAAAAGAACCTAAGTTGTTAAAACATTTTAAATGCCATATTCTGTAGATAGATCTCTGAAGTGTTTCAAGACCACCTGTCTACCTAGAATATATATATGTGGGACCCTTAAAATGTACTTAACATGACTACAATTGTGATTGTAATAGGTGATTAACTACTAACCTGAATTTCTTTATTATCCTAAATAGTTGGTAATATTAACTGTCAAGGACTAGTAATTTGCATTACATTGTTAAATGAGATGTATAGGTACAACACCTTGAACAAGATTAGAAATGTATGTACAGTATGTTCTAACAAAAATAATCTCAACTTTGTATCAATATACAAAGATCCATATAAATGTAAAATATTTTACATTAGTAGTTGCTTTTTTGGTTTAAAAGTAGATTCTATAATCTACCCTTTTGTCCTATGATATGTATATCCCCCTTTATTCTTTTCAAAACAAGGACCCTGAATCTAAACTCCTTTGTTCAGCGTTTTCCTGACCATTACCAGTAACAACTTGTAACCAACCCCTCTAAACAATAACAAATATCCATAACCCACTGAATGACCAAAACCCACCACTCTACCTCTTGGGAATGTGGTCATTGTGTTCTTAAATTTATTTTCTGCTGTCTGGGGGTGATGGTATCTTTAGGGGATCCTAAAAAGAGAAATTTGGGTTAATTGTCAAGTCCTGAGACAGGTAGCTGTATCATTTGTTGTCCAGTTCCTGTGTAATGGGAAAGTGCAGGGCTTGTCTCAAATCCTGGATTGAGTAGTCTGTGAAGCTGGATCATCTCAGCTAGACAGCTTGACATTGTCCTGAGCAGTTTGTAGTCCAAAGCTGATCTTTAGGTGGTGTTTTCAACTTAGTAGAGTTATCATAGTCCCTGTAGAATCATCATTGTGGGGTCCCGTTATCCTTTTGGAGACTTCAAAGGTAATGATTCACTGCAGAAAACTGACAAAGATACAAACCCAAAATCAAGTACAGAAAGCTAGATGAAGTCTTTTTTTCTAGAAATAATTAGTGCTCTATAGGAACATTAATATCATGACAAAAAGTTTAATATGTATATTACACATATATTTATCTATATATATATATATATAGATATATAGTGATCTTATAATTTTTGAAATAATATTCATACCTTAAGAAAAGTTTCAGCTGGGCGGTGGAGGCACATGCCTTTAATTCCAGCACTTGGGAGACAGAGACAGGTGGATCTCTCTGAGTTCGAGGCCAGCCTGGCCTACAGAGTTAGTTCAAGGAAAGACACAAAGCTACTCAGAGAAATTCTGTCTTGAAAACAAAAGAAAAAGCAAAGAAAAGCTTCAAGGAGTCAAAATAAAACCAAGGATCATGAGTTTAGTAGTAATAGTGATAGTTCCTTAACTATAGTTTTTCATCTAGCACCTATCAGCTTATACTTAATATTTATTTTCTATCAATATACTAATACTGGATATTTTTTATTTTGCTTTTCTCAATATATGTCCAAATTACCAAAAATAACTGTATTAGGAAGGAGTTCACCTTATTTTATTCCATTTACCTGTATCCATGAAAATACTAAATCCAATGCTATTCACAATTATTTCAGATGTGACTCCTGAACTTATTAGGCTATTTTGTTTACCTGCTTGCACATTTCATTTTTATTTTCTTTAATCAATCCATGTGGAAAATTAGAAAATTCATAATTTAAAACAAGCAAAATGTTTTCTTGTGAAGCCTACGATATGAGGTATGTCTAATTCATACTTCCAGACGCCAATTTGTAGGAAAATTAGAAGAAACTATAAAGGTTGTTAAATACTAAATATAAAACAAAATAAGTTTTCATTTCATATTAAATTTTTATAAGATGCAAAGTTCTATTAATATAATATTTATAGAGTTGGCTTAGAAATAGTTTTGTTTTAAGTAAAAAGTATAGTATGGATTGATGTGGCTGCAAGTTTTCGTGTGTGCCACCCAGTCCAAAGCCACTCAGACCATTTAGAAATCCATCTACAGGTTGAATTACCTGGCAGTAGAGGCATACACCTTTAATTACAGCAGCTGGGCAGGAGAAGCTAGTGGATCTCTGTGACTTCAAGGCCAGCCTGATCTACAGAGTAGGTTCCACAACAGTCAGGGCTACACAGAGAAACCCAGTCTTGAAAAACAAACAAACAAAAGTTTAAATTGAGTTATATTATACTTGAAGCATTATTTTTGCTACAAAATGATTATATAATATTGGCTTCTTTACTCTCTGTCATTGTATGGAGAGCTGGCTTGTCTCGATATTTTAAATATGCCTTATTGAATATTTTGTCCCGATTAAATTACAAAAATAAAAATAAAAATTTAGCTTTTTAAGTTGCAGAATTCCTAAAGTGAATGCATTTTTGGAGGGAAGGGGAGGAGTCAAGAGAGGGTTTCTTATTGACGTTTTGGTACCTGTCCTGGATCTCTCTCTGTTGACCAGGCTTGCCTTGAACTCACAGAGATCCACCTGGCTCTGCCTCCCAAGTGCTGGAATGAAAGGCGTGTACCACCACTACCTGGCAGGTGAATGTATTCTTAAACATATTGGATTACAAGTATGATTCTAATTGAATATTTTAAAGGCAACAATTACATTGTTCATATTTCCCAAGGGAGCAATATTATTTCATTCTTAAAGCAAGGGCAAATATTCTGAATGCTCTTGTAAATAATAGTGGTTATGTGCATAAGACGTAAATAAAATTCTACTCAGTCATTAGAAGTTCAGTACAGTCAGCAATATATGACGTGGCCTGATATACATCAAATCAATGATTACTTTGGAAAATACATAGAAATCGAATTTAGAGAAGAAATTGTTATAATTAAGCAAGTGAGTGTTGAAGGTGAAAAATGAAAACATTTGACTTATTATATGAGTCATGTCAGTGTAGAAGGTGTGTGTGTTTAACTGAATGTCAGATTAGAGAAACAAAATTCAATCAATTTTTCTTATGAATGGGAGTCTTCAGCCTGGAATGATTTTGGACCATTGAGGATTTGCTTACAAATTATATGTTCTTGCATTACATCACCTACTCCAAATGGCACTTGGTGATACCAAGGGATAAATATTTCACTCCCAATGCTTGCCTTGTGACTGTTATTCTTGATGCAAATTGTGGAATTTTCCTCCAAAATGTAGATCTGAAATTGCACTAATTAGTCACTTGGCCAGTTGTATGTGCCATAGGATTATATTGTTAGTATTGAAGAAAGTAAATTTGATTTTTCATTTCAAGATATAATACATCCTATTTGGCAGGAATTGAAATAAATTATTTTTAATACTGTAATCATGGCAATTATTGGGGCATCTCTCCCCACAACCATTAGCTCAGACAAATTTTGTGCATCTTGGTTTATTAAAATATTTATACTATTTAGAATATACTTTTAAAATATAATTGTGGAAAAATGGAAAATTTTTCAATCATCTGGGCCTAGAGAGCAGGAATCAAATTTTAACATTTCCCTTACAGGATTCCCTGTGACTTTTATCTATGAGAAGAATAGTATTGTTTTCCATTTCTTCAAATTTAAGGATTTTGTATAAGAAAGTAGAATTTTGACACAAAAAGGTGTTGATAATATACTAAATAAAGATTATTGTTTTGGTTTGAATGTGTATGATTGGTTTTTCTACTTGCATGTCTGTGCATTGTATTAGTACATGTTGCCAACAGAGGCTACAGGATTCATTGGGACAGGAAGTACAGATGTTTGTGATCCATCATGCAAGTATTAGGAATAACTTCTGAGCCATCTCTCCAGCTCCCATTGAGGAGTTCTTTCTTGAATTCACTAGTTGTGATCACTTAATTCTTGCCATATTATCTGAGGACTTGCTTTAGAGTAATTCTGTTAGTAATTTCATCATAACATCGAAAAATCTACCCCATATGCTTTCCATTAGTCCCCATTCTCTGAAATGATTCATACAGTGTTTTAAAGACAAGCTCTCTCATCAAGTGTTCAAGTCAGGTAGGCTGGCTGGCCAGGAAACCCAAAGATTCGCTTATCTCCACATCCTCAGTGCACACTACAATGTCTAGCTCTTTCAGTTGGGTTCTGGAAATCAAACTCAGGTGCTGATGCTTTCAGTGCCTCCATTATCTTCATAG